TCGGCGTCTTCAATGAATACTCAACCATCTTTCGGAAACTTCAGGAACCTAGTTCCGTTTATGTTGCTGAGCTAGCAGCAATCAACTTCGCACTGGGGATGATTTCCGACATGCCCATAGACCATTACTTCATCTTCTCGGAAAGTCTCAGTTCTAAGAAGTTTGCAGAACTTCTACGAAATTCCATAACCGTTGTTCGGGTATTTTGGGAACTCCCTGGAAGTATTGGGAACTTTGTTTCCCCAAAATATTCAGGAAAATTCATAGAAAGGTTACGGGTCTTCCTAGAAGTTTAGAAATGGTCTTGTTCTGAGATCTTGGTGAAATTAGGAGAGCTAGGAAAAAATAATTATGTATCTTGGAAAAAAATCATGCAACATTGTAGATGATCATGAGCTATAGAAAATACGTAAAAGGCCAGAAATCTTGGGAGAAATTCAGTTCATAGAAGTATACGGAACTTTTCATAACTTCAGGAAACTTCATAGAGGCTCAGGGAGCTTCGTTTGAGTTCATGGAACTAAGTTTAAGATCTTGAAACTTCCTGGAAGCACAGGAACCATCGTAGAAGTTCAGAAAACTTCGCAAATTTTTAGAGAACTTCATTGATATTCACGGATTTTCAAAAATATATCAATAAGCTCCTGTATATGGATTTCAAGACTTTAAATTCATCAAGTGTTATTCTGAAGACATGCAACTGTTTAAAAATTCAAATGTCATCAGATATTCTACCAAGACGGCAGGTTGATCAGGAACTAGTTCTAGCGTTTAAGAGGTCCTCACTGCAATGATCGATTTTCTCTTTTGATAATAACTCGGTGCGCTTGCTGTTGCTGTTGTTTAACATTCCACGGTATTTTTTTCAAGACTTCAGGTTGATCTAGTTGAAGATATTAACCTGTTCTCAATATTTTTTCAAGTCATCAGGTTGATGAAGTTCATTCTTAAGATCTTAAACTTTCCAAAAATTCAAATGATGTCCTCTGATATGCTCCAAAGACGGCCGGATAATTAGGAAGTATCTACAGCTGATCGAAGATAACAATTAAGTCCTCTGGATATTTTTAAAGGTTTCATTGATCAGGTATTGTTGTGAAGATCTTAAGCTGTTCAAACAACTTCATTACTCAGATATTCTTAGAAAAACGGCACGTTGATCAGAAGGTATTCATATGAGCTCCAACAAATAAGTTTTTTTTAAAGTCCTGCGAATATTCAGATCAACCGAAGGCAACCCTTCCTATTCTGCGGGTCTACCCCGTTTAGTATGATTGCCCCAGATTTAAAGATATTTGAAATTTTGTGAAGACTTTTTTTTCCGCAGTTATTTCATGTTTTGTTTGAAGACATGCTGAAGACTTCCGAAGGCTTTTTGATTTAAGTTGACATGAGTCAGTGTAGAGTCACGCAAAGAGAAAAATAGTAGAATCCAGAGCAAAGTTTTCGAAAGATACCCCACCCCTTCGCTTGACAACAGAGCAATTCTGCGTTAACTTCAAATGACTTCCAACGAATTATGAAGATTCGAGGCCATAAAAAAAATTACAATCTCAACGAATTTCTGAATAATCATAACCATAGGCGTAGCCAGAGGGGGCAGGAGAGGGGGCAAATGCCCCCCGCCATAAACTTAGCAACACAAAGGCTTTCGGTGAAATGGCATTCGGCTTAATTTTCCAAAGTAAATTTTGTTTCGCCTCTCCCTAGCTCGAAACCCAGCTACGCCCTTGATCATAACCCAAAATAATTCAAATCTTCATAATTGACCTTTGTCATGCGTATCGTATAAAAATTCAAGGCTTACGTTACAATTACATCGTTGTAAATATTATTTATTTTATTGTAATACAACAGACAAACAGACATAACACTATCAAGTTATGAAGAGCTTTGAGTGGATTGGTTTATTTCCTTTAAATTCCGTTATAATTGCTTATCTTTTGACAGATACGCGTATTTCGTCTACTACTTGCAGACTTCATCAGAGCTAAGTACTCAACACCACTAAAGGAAATAAACCAACCCACTCAAAGCTCTTCATAAAGGGATTCCGTTAAGAGGTTCGACAAATTTAAAGGAACTATCAAGTTGTTCATCGAACAAGCATTTAACGGTAAATTTTTTTTTAGTTGGTAGTACTGCCACCTGTGGCGCGCATAGTCAATTCCTTTGCGTTTGACGTTTACACACTACCGCCATCTGTTCAGCGTACTACACATCACAGTATACTCAACAGATGGCGGTAGTGTTTAAGCGAAGTTATGTCTGTTTGTCTGTGGTAATACCTTCCTCTGAGCATGCCAAGAATCACAGTTGGATGGGTACACTGAAAAATAAATCACATAAAGGCCCATGCATTAATTACGTCACGCTAAATCGAGGAAACATTTAGCCTGAGAGCGTGACATAATATATGCATCACTCCTAGCCAATGAAAAACATCCATGTGAATTTCATTCACATAACATTCATGTGATCTCATAATTGGAAATTGCACCACAAAATCACATACAATGGGCACATCTTGGTTGATTTTGGTTTGAAAATGAGTCTAGTTTCTTGAGTGAAATTAAAATAAATACTTTTTAGCGAAATATTAAAAATTATAGGTAAATCCTTCCAGAAACCCAGAATATCTTTTCAAAACAGACAATATTTGACGAAATTAACGGCACACCAAAGTTGACCGAAAATCCTACTATTTAATGTTGTACAACCTAGTGTTTCCTACCCGGAATATCTCATTTTTGATTCAATTTTCCGAAAACATTTTTTTTTTAGTAAATGCATGCTAAATATAAATTTCACCAAAAATAATGGAAACTATTTCCAGGAAATTTGTTTCATAATTTCCTAGGAAAGTCGAAAAAACTTACTGGGAAGTCGGAAAATAGTTCCGGGGGAAGTCAGAAGGACCTTGGAGAACATTTCTAGTAGATATTGGGGAAGTCTACCCAGAGGAAGTTGAAAAGAACTTCTGAGAAAACTCGAACGAAACTTTCAATGGAAGCAACTCTAAGGAAAAGTTAGAAGAAACTTTCAGCGAAACCACTTCTGGGGAAAGTTGGAAGAAACGGTCCAACTAAAAATATACTTTCGATGGAAATCGGAATAATCTTCTAAGAGTCAGAAGAAACTTCCGTTAAACGGACGAGCAGACCAACTCGACTCAATTTTGTCAAAAGTGGATTAACTTAAAAGTGATGCCCTTATATTCGAGAAATTTTTCCTGGAAAAGTTAATCCACTTTAACGAAACTGGGTTGACTCGATTAAATTTTGAGACTGTTTGAACGTCCGTGTACGGGTAGGAAAATCAAGGGTTTCCTTCGTAGCTCACTCTAAAATTAAAATTAACATAGATATTACGACCAATGTTTCATTACGAAGACGAATTTTTAATCAAAATTTAATACCTAAATAACTAACAAATCATAAAATGCGTTAAATGGCCAGAAAAATAGAAACATCAAAGTCAAAATGTCCACCCCGACATGAGCGGTGCATGGAATAACCACAGACAAACAGACGTAACACTTCATTGTGTATCTTCGTTCACGAATTTAACGGTTGATTTGAATATTATCAGTTCCGCGATCAGCTACTCGCCACAGCGCTGGCATCGGATCACTTTGACGTTTCTATACATTCTATAGAACTTTTATGCAATATTTTTTGAGAGTTAAATGTTTTCTGCGAGAAGCCCGAGAGATGTCGTTACTGAGGTCCTATGTTTTGAGATACTAAGTTTTCAAGAAATTTTTTTTTCAAAGAGTTTCGTCTGTTTTTCTGAGGAATAACTATGCCTCGCAATAAATTTTAAAATAATTGTTTTTGATGTTTTACATTTTTTACACATTCTTATGAAAATAACCTTTAAGCTACTGCAAACATATGCAATATATCAATTAAACATAATTTACTAACGATGTGTACTTGATTTTACTCGAAAGTGAGCGGTTAACCGGCACCACACGGTACTACGCTGGCCTATAAATTCTCAGCAGTAGGGCTGCCGTTTCCACAGAAAATTCCGTAGATGTACGGAATTAATCAGTTTTTCCCGTTTTTCCGGACTGAAACAGCAACTATTCGTAATTTTGCATTCATTCCATATTTAATTATCTTTTAATATTGTGTTCCTTTTAATTATTTTTATGAAAAGTTATTCAGTGCAGAAGTCAATAAAACCCCTGATCTACACGGCCAACTACAACAACTTAGCGACTGAAATCGATTGACTCAGAGCATATTCTTTCCATACGAAATTTACTCACATTTGAAAAAAAAAACTGCAGTTACTCATAGCTAATGTGTAACTGTAGTTTTTTCTCCAAATATGAGTAAATTTCGTATATGTGTTGTTGTACAAAAAAAAAACTTCGAGCGATTGCGAAGCTATTAACAGTCATAAATGTTGATCAACTTTTGGCACGTTATGCAACGCACAAAATTTATATTGTTGTAGGATATCATCTTTAATGTTTAATGGTGATTTGAAAAACAAAACGAACGAAAGGTTAGTTAGTAAAAATTATTCACAAAATGGGATGGCAATGTCTGTTTGGTTAGGTATGAACTGTTATGAAGGTATTTAGAGATGTAGCCACAGGTGCAAGCTTTGACCAATAATACGTCTCATGAAGGAAAGGTCCACCGGGAACAATTTGCACATTACGAAACAGATGTTTAGAACGAATGTGCACGCCATTACCAACCTTATTTACAACAAATTTCACTGTGCAAAGGAACATTAACAGTTATCGCTTAGAAAGGCTTAGCACACGATTAGACGGTACAAAATAAAGTCGTAAAATAATAGCACTGAATAGAAAAAGGAATGTAACACGCGTTGCCTTGAACTAGTAGTCGAAAATTACACTAATGAAATTACACGCATGCCGCAAAAAAAGCTACACACCACATAAGGCTAGAAGTGACTTTCTAAATAGCTACCTCCAGGTGTAGAAAGCGTCCGCAGAGAAGTGACTGACGTACCTGTATTGAGATTACTGTATGCATCGTCCTCCTCGGTGATATCATCACAATCACGCTCGGTTCGGTCATCGTCGTCACCGTTTTCATCACGATGGCCATTTTCTCCGGCATTATCATCGTCCTCGTCATTTTTCGACTCGCTTCGATACAGCACCGTTTCCTTCAATTCCGTTTCCCTCTCGGTGAACTTTTCGTTCCGGTGGCCGATCTGGGAAGAAAAATTAAGAATTCACATGTTGTTCTATGCCGCATGCAATCGTATGTCATATTACTTACCTTTGCTTCCAGGCTGGGCTCGATAAACTGCCCGAATGGAACCTTTGGAAATTCGCTCACAGGAGGAGGCGGTAGCTTGTCCAGATTTAGTTTCTTCAGATCGAACATTGCCAGCTGCAGGGTCTTTATCACAGTATCGTCGTCGTAGCCGAAATTTTTGTACAGAGTTGTCTGCAGGAACTCGGTTATCTGATCCATGTCCTTCATTCGAAGTATTTTTACTTTGTGGATTTTCAGGATGGTGAAGGCCATCGCCGTCAGCACACGCTCGCCGTACAGCATGTAGATGTCCCATACTCGCAAACATAGGCTAAACGGTATCTGCAATGAAGGTGAAGGAACGTCGCCAATTAGTAACTTGTAAATCTTATATCCAATACACCGATAGTTTTCGAAAAACCACAAACGTTCACTTACCCTCTCTATGAAGATAACGAAGAACCACTTCAGCGAGTACAGCACGGAATCTACTCCATGTTTGTCCAAATGCTTCTTCACTTTTGGCATACATTTCGTCAAGATTTTGTCATGGTGTTGCAAGAATCGCATCAACTTGGGAAAACCTTCGACGTACAACCCATGCATGGCATACCGTTCATTCGATAGCAATGCATTCAACGCCCAAAACGTATCCTCCTCATCAAAATACATCAACAGCACACCGGCTACCGTCGACATACCCTGGCAGTAACCGACCTCCATATTGTACATACTATACGCAGCCAGTACTCTAAATAAGCTCTGCTGTTTCACACTGTACCGGTCGCGATAGTTGATATGATTACGAAACTGTCGATTCACGTCGAAATCTATCTGCCGAATGTCGGGACTGTACTGTCGGGCAAATTTCAGCATCTTATCATAAACCCCGGCATTTTCCTCCAACGTTTTGTCTAGATTCAGGAACAGTTTCCAAATGGCGGCCCGCAATCGGTCTGGAATGCCTTTCATCACCCTTCGCTGGAGCCTTTCCTTTGTATCAGCACTAGTCCAGTTCTTCCTCATCTTGAGCCATTTTTTCGTACGTTCCACTTCGATCTGTTTCCGGCGAATTGCCTCCAGATCGTCTCGATATGTTTGCTCCTTTTCCGGATGCAGGAACCCATACCGATCGGCTTGGGTGTAGATTTCGAAGGCTGGATCATCCCAAGCATCGATGTCTATATTCTTTCTCCCTCCGTCGTAGCGTTTGAAAATCGCTTCCCGTTCAACATTTGCACGCTCCACTAGGATCCTCTTTTCAGTCAACTCTTCTTCAGTCATCATTTTTGTTCGTTTACGTTTGCGAGGGGCCTACCTCCAGCTGCCCTCAGGTGAAACCGATTTAACTGATTTGTGCACGATTCCCAACAGTATCACCGCTCCATTGAACATCTTTCCATTTGTCGTCGTCGTCGTCTTCGTTCGTTGTTCCCGGCACCGAACCGTGCTAATTATCGGAAACGCTTTTCCAGTTCATTCCTCTTGCCGCTCTCTTGATCCACAAAGAAATCAACTGTAACAAGAAGAGAAACAAAAATCAGATAAATATTTATTTGCATTTAACATTCCAGCAGCCAGCCAGCATTTGTTTATCGCTTAATAAATGTATAACATCCAATTCTCAAGTTGCGCCAACGGAAATCTATAGATAGCCAAGCGGTCAAGTCAACAATGTGTGTAATGTAAGCATAATCCGTTGGTGATGGTGAGCCGGGCTTCCCCGGTGAAATGAATTCAATTCCAGCAGCACGGCCTCTATGTACAACCAAACCGCGCACCGGAATGGTATGCCAGCCCATTAAAACTCAAACGACGCGACGCAGCGGAGACGACCTTGACGTGATCGCGCGTTTACAGCTGTGCGTTCGCTGGTTGGTGCTTCACCGTGATAAATGATGGGCTAAATGTTTTGAAACATGATAGATAGCGGTTTGTTACGAAGGCGAGCGCGAAGCAAATCGCGACTGTGATCAGCTGGACAAATGGTTCAAATTGGCTAACGGTGCTGCAACCGTGAGAGAGCTGCGAAATTTTCGGTCCACTTTTCTACGTTTCACGATCAAGTCACGTGGGAGTTTTTGGTGGTAGCGGGGCGAATGTAATAAGAATAATATAAAAAAAACGTATTTTTCACTACACTACCTGCTTTGTGGGTACACTTTGTGAAAACCGAAAATGGAACATGTAACATAATAATGAAAGATTTTGAACATTAATAACTCAGCTTCCCCTGAGCCAATTTCAATAATTTTATCACCAATCGATCAGAAATATTCCTATGCATCTGTTAAAATTAAGACGTTATCATTTTTCAGAATGTCACTATTGAAAATTGAACGAATGTGCAGCTGTTGCTATGATAATAAAAATTATCACCGATTGCCTGCGAAAAGCGATTTCACTAACACAGATTTCAAAGTTGATTTCAATCCGGTCTCACCATACGGTGTTTATTCAATCACCGCGTGGTGAGTGGTGGTGTTCTCCAGTACACCACGAAAGGCTGCCTGCAAGTAGCGAGCTGCAGCCCACATGATCAACCATAGAAGCAGGAAGAAGCCGGAATCAGTAGCTCTTCGTGAGTCGCTGTGGGCCATCTTTGTCAAGCGCATCTACTAAAGAGGATAAACAGAGAGAACCCCGCTCAAATTCCTATTCCTACACACTACTAAAAAGTCGTGTAAATTTCGGTTCCCTGAAACCGACACATGTAAGCGGGCCTTTTGACATAAGAATCAGTTGAAAGAAACCGTGAAAATCAATTCATTCAAACGTTCTCTTCGTCGACTAGCTGATGTTTCGGTTTGAGAACACTTAATTTTACATGAAATGTTTGTTTACATTCTATGATTTACGTCCAATATGGATTACGTCTCGTGTAAAAGTAGTTATTTCTAAGTGTGTACACAAAACGCAAGCTCCGGCAAATGAGATTTATTATAGTTATTTAGTTTAAATACAGCATTTAAAAGTACAAAACATTCTAGTCGAAGTATGAATGAGGTCAACAACAACAAAGCAGGCGACTGAGAAGAGTGGAGTGAATGCGTTTCACGAAGCACTGGAAGTCGTAAAATTAGACTAAGCGAATGAGATGGGAATACACAAAATATTGTGAAAGGCGTTTGCGTCACAATCTGAATTAAAACAAACCAGTCTTCTCCAGAAATTGCGTTTTGATGACGCATCAGTGCCAAATTGGGACTGCGGAAAACTGCCGGCAGGATACTTCAAAAGCTTTCAGTCAGCTGGAAATTGGCTGCCTTCTGAACCATAGCAGTGATTTCGATTGACCTTTCCGGACCAACTAGACAGATTCTAATCTTAATGTGTGGTGGATGTAAAAATGGCAAAGCTGTCTTGACCAGGGATTTATGAAGGTTGTTTTGTAGTAGCCTTGTAGTACTTCATAAAACGTAAAATGTTACTTGGGAGGGCCAGGTCTCCAATGAAAAATGACTGTCCGTGCTGCACCATGATAGAGTTAAAGATTTGACATCACAGAGAAATTACCACAGGGGTCAAATGAATCTGAAAATGCCGATAGTAAGGCAAGTTTTTGAATATAGGGGATAGCAGTGATAGCAGGTTTTTTTTATTGGGTATCAAGCTGGAGCTGCGTCACTTAGTTTTCAAGACTTGACCCATTTGAATAAATGTTGCTTCTATCTTTGACAATACAGCAGAAGGACTAGCCTATGTTGGCAGCTTGAACACTGGATTCCGTGTATATTGTTTCAAGATAGTTATGGAAAAAATGCTGTGACGTGTGCGCGTAGATACATCGCGTAGTAAACCGATTGAATAAGTAAATCCGAAATATCTCAACTATGTAAGTTACGAAAACCGCGCGAATTTCAAAAGCCGTGCGAGACAACCGAAACGAGAAAAAAAGGCTTATTATTATTTAAAGAGTGCCACCAAAATAAATGTGATAGCCTATGTTGGCAAATTGATTAATTTTGGTTTTCTCCTTAGATATTCTACTCATTTACTACTGAGCTTTGTATCAAATAGAAATAACGGACGTATCAATCATTTCAAGATTTCGCGACCGTATCGAACAAAGTCTAAACTACATAAGCTAAACAAAACTTTTGGCAAGCTCTACCGAATTGCGAATCATTTCTGCGTAAGCTCCATAGTCGTAGGTGCGTTGAATCCGACAGACGCGAAAAATTAAACATGCAACAATACCACATAAGGAAAGATCGATTTTACAGTAACATAGGGTTTAGTTCATAGATTAACATTTACTGCTGTTTACAAATGTAAGTACTTGAACAAAAAGAAATAAGTTAACTCAAATGCTGTAACCGCATATATCAGAGATTAATAACTCATATAATAATAACATAACTCAGGGGAAAACAATACCTATAAAAGATTAAATTATCACATACCTATAATTTTACTGAATAGTGAATAATGAAATACGGATCAGAACAATCGGCACAGACCTACGCGACGAAATAAGGACTACGATTAGAAACTCGGAACATGCACACTAAGATTATTTTACAGATTTCTGTAAAATTTTACCGAAATCTCAACAGCTGAACGTTCGGTAATCAATTTTACAGTTTTCCTGTAATTATTTACATATATCTGTGAAAAATTCACTGTAAAATTGTTAACCGAACGTTCAGCTGTTGAGATTTTGGTAAAATTTTACAGAAATCTGTAAAACATTCTAAGTGTGTGGAACTGCAAATCACTCGGCTTCCCGGGCTGCGATAGGTTAATCTATGACGAACTTCAACCACGCAGCTTCGAAATCGTAGCACTGCAGGAACTTTGCTGGACGGGACAAAAGGTATGGAAAAGCGGGCATTGAGCGGCTACTTTCTACCAGAGCTGTGGCACTACCAACGAGCTGGGAACCGGCTTTGTAGTGCTGGGTAAGATGCGCCAACGAGTGATTGGTTGGCAGCCGATCAACGCGAGGATGTGCAAGTTGAGGATTAAGGGCTGTTTCTTAAGCAGCATCATCAACGTACACTGCCCACAAGAAATGAAGACCCAACGACGAGAAAGAAGCGTTCTATGCGCAGCTGCAGCAGGTGTACGACGGCAGTTCGCAACGGGACGTCAAAATCGTCATCGGCGACATGAACGCTCAGGTAGGACGGGAGGCAATGTATAGACCGGCAATCGGGTCAAACAGCCTGCATGCCGTATCGAACGACAACGGTCAACGATGCGTGAACTTAGCCGCTTCTCGGGGTATGGTAGTTCGAAGTACCTTTTCCCCCCTCAAGAATATCCACAAAGCCACCTGGAGATCACCTGACCAACACACAGAAAACCAAATCGATCACGTTCTAATCGACGGGAAATTCTTCTCCGACATTATCAACGTCCGCACGTACCGCAGTGCGAACATAGATTCTACCTAGTTGCAGTATGCATGCGCTCAAAACTCTCGACGGTGCATAACACCCGTTGAAGTCGAACGCCGCGATCCAACATTGAGCAACTACGGGACGCCGGAGTTGCCAGGACCTACGCGCAGCAGCTAGGAGTTGCACTACCCACGGAAGAGCAGCTTCTCTTGAAGATGGCTGGAGGGACATCCGTTCCGCCATAGGTAGTACTGCTGCAGCGGCACTAGGTACTGCAATCCAGGACCGAAGAAATGACTGGTTTGACGGCGAATGCAAACTGTTAGTAGAGGAGAAGAATGCAGCACGGGCGAGAATGCTGCAAAACCGCACGAGATTGAATGTGGAGCGATACAGACAAGCGCGGAACAGACAAAACACGGTTTTCCGAAGGAAGAAGCGTCAGCAGGAAGACCGAGATCGCGAGGCGATGGAAAATCTGTACCGCGTGAACGACACACGGAAGTTCTACGAGAAGCTAAATAGTTCGCGCAAAGGCTACGTGCCGCAAGCCGATATGTGCAAGGACTTGAACGGTAACCTTCTCACGAACGAGTGTGAGGTGATTGAGAGGTGGAAGCAGTACTATGACGAGCACCTCAACGGTGAAGCAGCAGAAAACGAAGGTGGCACGGCAACCGACCTTGGAGCACGCGCAGAAGACGACAGGCTACCGCCCCCCGATCTTCAAGAAGTTGAGGATTGGTTGGCTGAAGAACAACAAAGCAACTGGTGTAGATCAACTACCAAGTGAGCTATTAAAATACGGTGGTGAAGCACTGACTAGAGCGCTGCACTGGGTAATTTCCAAGATTTGGGAGGAGGAGATATTACCGGAGGATTGGATGGAAGTTGTCGTATGCCCAATCTACAAAAAGGGCGACAAGTTGGATTGCTGCAACTACCGCGCGATCACACTGCTGAGCGCCGCCTACAAGGTACTCTGCAAAATTATATGCCGCCGCCTGTAACCATTTGCAAGAGAGTTCGTGGGGCAATACCAGGCGGGATTCATGGGTGCCCGCGCTACCACGGACCAAATTTTCGCGATTCAGCAGAAGTGCCGCGAATACAACGTGCCCACACATCATTTGTTCATCGATTTCAAATCCGCATACGACACAATCGA